AAATGCTCCAAGCGACTTTAAGCGCTGTAGAGGACAGGGGCCGGGTGCTTTTGCCAGCCTTGCTTCGGATCATTCTAATCATTCAGTTAACAGCTTTGGAATTAAAATATCTAGTCAATTTCTGTGACAAAATCCTTTTGTTTGTTTGTTTTTTGAAAAAGCCCCATTTTAGGCCAAAAACGGGTACTTTCAACTTTGGATTCTTAGGTATCGAAGATAGAATAGCTTAGATTAGATTATTGCAATCGTATAGATTGCAATAATCTAAGCTAGTCGTTTGAATTTTGGTATAAATATTGAGTAATGTATATCCCTAATATATTGTAAAAAAATTTCAAGCGAAAAGATCTTTGAAAGCGATAGTTGCCAGCCAGCGCAGGTACCCAGGTTGAGACCCCGATCTGAGTTTACTTTTTAACACCCAAATCCCCAATAATCAATCGAATTCAAAATCTTTTGCACTATTTTATAGAGGAGATTCAGCGCTTTCTAATAGTATACAAAACTTATTGTCTGAGGCTTGCAATCCTTTTATTTTTCGAAAGACATGTGAGCGCTGGTTTCATTCCACCCTAATATCAACATTTTTGAGTCTAGTACTTGTGGGTTGTGTTTTGGTAGGTTTAATCCTAGTTTAGAACTTTATAGAAATCATTTTATTATCAAATTCCTCCCAAAAACACCTTGATCAATTACAAACAATAAACGAACAACAAAGAATTAGATCTTTCTCTTCTAAATCCAATCCAATCCAAACAACTTCTTCAACTCCTCCAATCCAATCCACTCTTTCTGTTGTCCAATCTGTTTTTTTCACTGATTGCGTGTCATCATAAAGGATTCCTCTTCAATTACTGCCTTTTCCCCCCGAATTCAAACGAACAAAAATGTGTTTTCCCTTCCAGAAATCTTCCATTTCCCAGGATTTCTCGGTTTTCCACCCAATTTTCTCACAATTTGCTTTTTGGGTTGAGGAAGTCTGAGGTTTTTGGCTAAAGGAAATGGAAGTGACCTATCTGAAATATCTGAATGCCTTGGATAGATTTTAAATTGCATTGATTGCAATAAGCATAGATGATTTTCGACAATTAAAAACAACCGATTTTACTAGTTAACGTGACGAACTTATTTCAAACTTTGGCCACCAATTTTTTCTGTCTTGAAGACTTTTTCTCTTTTATCAGAGCCTCTGTGAGCAATTGCGCTCAAAAAACGAAAAAAAAAGCGAGAATTTGTCACCTTTTTACTTCATGAGGGGCTTCACAAATCTCACCTCGAAAAGAGAAAAGAGGGAAATTGTAATGAGAGACTTGTGCTTTTGAGAGAGGAACTTTTCTAATGAGTTGATCAACTCTCTGACCACAAGCTGTTTTTTTTGTCTTCTCATTTTCTTCATTAGAATGATTCTATCGCTTACATTACACTTTTTAGATGAAATGTTTTCTTAACTTAACTTTTTCAATCATTTGTTTTGAGTCATAGCTCTTTATAAATCACTCGTAAAACTTAACAGTTAATAGAAAGTTCTGAAAGCTTTATATGTCATTACATCATTTGCAATAGAATGATCTAAACATAAAGAATAAGGGAATAGAGTAAAAGAGATGAGCAATGCATCCGATGATGATCAGATGAGTTGCATAGCCTCTTTTGCCATCCTCACCCCACCCCAGTCCATTCAATGATGGGCCGATTGGTGGCCAAAAACGACAGAAAACAAAAAGAAGACAAAGAAATGAAAGAGGGGGACGATCTCCCGGAAAGAATCCCCAAAAAGAGTCCCTTTTCCTTTCCAATCTTCCTTCTAGTTGGCCCCATTGTGTCGACCCCGGAATTTCTTCTTATTTCGCCTTTTGTCATGGAAATCTTCTCCCCCCACTCGTCATACTTTCGATCTATGTCTTACTGATTCCTGGTTGGTTGTAAGAAAAGGATTAGATTGTTGAAAGAGATCGTTGTTTGGCAATTGAAAGCATAGTCGTTGTAACTCATCTACTTTGGTTTTTGTTTCAGGAGTTCTAAAATTGTTAAGTTAGTCAGCCTCTTGGTTTTTCTGATTTCACAATGAATGTAAAATAGCACAAAGATTAAACCTTTTCATTTTGCAAATATTTTCATATTTGATTTCTTTTAATGTTGAACGTTTGGGCTAATTCCTTGTTTTCCGTGAATTCAAATATGAGTCGATTGGTGAAGCCCTTTATCTTTCCGCGGTTTATGAATATCTTCATAAAAATAATTCTTGCATCTTTACATTTCAAAGTCTTTTCCTTTCACTCATCTTCAGATTTATGCAGTTTCGCTATTCTATTTGCTTTGAATGAATCTTTTGAGGCAAAAGAGATGAAGCACGAGATCTTTTCCGATGATGATTGAGTCTCTCTTCTTTTTCCATCTCTTTTAAATAGTTAGCCTCATTTCGCTCTCATGTGTTCACAGCTTATCCCCCCAAAAAAAGCCTCAAATTGGCCATTTTGCCCCTTTTTGCAAAAAGAATGAGTAAGTGATTTACTCTGTCCAATTTCTGAGAAATTTTCTCAGAAAGGGAAAGAAAAAGATGACTTTATGTTTAGGCTTAGAATATTAAGTATAAGATTTTAAAAAAGATCGAGTTGAATAGGATGGAATCGTTACAAGCGTTACAAGTAATGATTCATTAGATGCAATCGTTACAAGCTGTAATGATTCATTGGATGCAAAATAGGCGATACACTGCAGCTTTACAGATATGGGACAATTCAAAACTAAACAGGAACAGGCAAATCTTATCCCAGTTTATGTTTCCGTCAAGCCCAAGCAATCTATTCATAGCTCACTCTCAAAAACTCATCTCAACTCGATCTTATTGTTTTCTTTCTGCATTAACCAATCTTGATTCGTAAGCGTCTCTGGGGGACTCGTCAAAATGAGATTCGTGCAGAGACTCCAGTGAGACGTTTTCTTTACAATTAGGTTTAATCGTTGAGTGTTTTATAAATAAATATAATCAAAAACAAGGCTAAAAACTTCTTTCTATGCACAAAACTTTCTAATTTTTCTTTGCTCAAGTCTTGGTTGTCTTTGTCTTGGTTGTCTTTGGCTTATTTACTCAAACTGTAAAATGCATTTAATGCCTTGCCCCTGGAAGTCCCTATTATTATCTTTCTTCAAAAAAGCTTTGCAACTCTGTGACTATGCAAGAAAAATCCAACTTTGTGCACATTTACTCAATCTTGGCCTCTTTCTCCTTCTCCATTCCGACAGAGTCATCAATTGACGGTGAGAGAAAAGGGGAAAGGGATGACTGGCAATCTCTTTGAGAAAAAAGAGTTAGCCTACAAATTGACTCTTTTTTCTCTCAAGACTATCCCATCTTGGACTCTTTATATGGGAAAGACTGGAGTGGATTTCTGAGCGAATCTTTTTGAGACCCTTTCTTTTTTTCCATTTTTTCTTTAAGGATAATTGCTTCCGAGATCTCTTCCCCACACAACGCATCTACCTAGAAATAAAGTTATCAAAGAAGTTTTTTATTTCGTTCATCGTTTTCACAGAAAATTCGCTGCTCTCTGATCTGCATTCTACAGAAAATGACTTGGGCTTTTCATTCGAGAGATTATTAGAATTTTGCTTTTATAAAGATCCTTTAGAGATCTGTTGAAAATTATTTTGATTGTAAAATTACAAAATTTTTACAACTTCTAGTCCACCAAATTTCTTTTGAAGTTCACCGGACATTTGGTTTTTGACATTTGATTGGATGAAAATGATGAAAAGACTTTGCAAACGGTGAAAAGGTGAAAAGACTTTCAAAACGTTCCAAAAATCCCAAATCTTGTTCATCACATTTTTTCGATGATGCAAAGACAAGATTTGATTTTATTATTTATTTTAACAAGATCCATGAGCCTCCACAAATCCTGAATTATCTCGAGATGGAAAAAAGGGAAAACAAAAGGCTCGACGCAAAAAATTCCCTCTTTTCAAATTGATTCAATTAACACCAATGTCTTGCATTTCTTTTGTGTAAATGGGAGAAATCTTGGTCTTGACTAAAAGCGGTCATTTTGAGCGGCGTTTGGAGAAGAAAAATGCTCAAATTTCCTCCGAAACCAACCGTTTGGCAAACCAAATTTACTGCTTCTCGTGAGGAAATTCGCGTGTTGACAACAACAAAAAAAGATTTGCTCATTTAGGCAGAAAATTTTTTGTCGGCTTTCAAACTGAGTTTACCTGCTTTTGAGTTAGTCACGGAAATGGCCACACTTCTAGCTACAATTTGGTTGAATTTTTTGCAATACTTCATTTTTGGAATTTAAAATGGTTAAACTTTAAAAAAGTATAGGACACGGATACTTGTTTTTTTTTTAGAAAATCGCAGTAGCTCAGAACTTTCCTATTTAATTGCTAAAAATAAAGGTTTTGATCTTTTTTTTGAGTTTTTGACCTTATCTCCATGATTGATTTCGTCAAATAGTATTCCCAGATTTCAAATCGGACATTCTAATTTTCAATTAAGAACACAATTCCTGATATGTTTATTGGATTAGTAGATGTGTCTTTTTTCGATTGTCTTTCGAGTTATTTATTTAACGAATGTTTTGTTGTACCACAAAACTCTATTAAAATTACCATAAACAATATTATTTGTATCGATTTCTGTTTTGATTTTCTGTTTTTTCAACATTGAGCATTTATCATTTTCGGAGCTTTTCTTGTGTAAGGCTCTTGACTTAAATACAACTATTGCTGCCTCAAAAACATAAAGAATCTAGATCAACATAAAGAAGCCAGAATCTAGCTTGAGTACCAAAAATCTAAATTGTACTCAATTAATTCAATGAGTCGGCTCGGAGTTGCACGCAACATAGAACATTTTCCTAATTTTTTTTTACCATGTTTGTTGAAAGAATCCGGCTACGATTTTTGATCTGGCTTTTCATTTATTATTTGGTGTATTAAACTACACGTTTGTTTTGCTTTCTTCAACAATTATGATGAAAATTCAGGAAATTCAGGAAATGGACAGTCAACAATTGATGGCTACGGCCATCCTGGTAATTGTGATCATCGGTTGTTTGGGTAACATTCTCTCCTTTACTCTTTTCTCTCGGCCGCACATGAGGGCATCGTCGGTGAGTTAAAAGTCTAAATGTCTAAGTCTAAGTCTAAAAATCTAATTCAAGCGTCTTACATGGCACTGAGACTGCAATAGTTCTAGTGTTTCTATCTTTGGAAAATCTAACCGAATAACCGAGCTAGAAAGTTGATCAGTCCGACAAATTTTCTAAAATAAATCTCCATTTTTTCTAGGTAAACGTGCTCTTGTGCGCGCTCTCATTCGTCGATTTCACAATGCTCTTTTTGATGATCCCATGTTTTGTGCTTCCTGGTTTCAGTATATGGTTGGTTTTAGAATTTTTGGAAATAAAATTGCAATTAAAAACTGAAGAAAAACTAGAATACAAATAGAATTACTAATTCTTGTGCCTTTTTAAAAGAAAACCGAGAAAGAAATGGGATCTTCTGGGAATTGTAGAAAGAAAAAATCGTGAGCGAGCGACAGGAATGAGTTTGAGATTAAAAAATCGAATCAAAATCGAGTCAAAATCAAAATCAAAATCAAAATTGAAAATAATCAAGTTCAAGATCTAAAGTACGACTTAACATATCGTATTAGAAAATAAAAAAGTCAAAGAAATTTTAGGGAAACGAACGAAGGACATTTGACCTACATGGCTTATATATTGAAATTTGTCTACCCGGTGAGTGGGGAGGAGATTTTGAATTTGAAATATTGTAAAGATTTAGATCATAATCAAAGCTTTTAGGTGAACTTGATAATGCAAACGTGTTCGATCTACATTATGGTGATGATCACGATGGAGAGGTGGACAGCCGTGTGCAGACCATTACAGGCAAGAGATCAATAACCCAATTACTAGCTAATATCATCTCAATAAGTATTCGATGATATAAAAATTTGTAAGCTTATGGGAAGCTTATCTAAAGAAATCACTGAAGCCTCGATTTTACAACTACTCAACTTTAAACCTGTGCAATTTACCGTTCAGGTTCGAATCTGGTGCACCCCGAAGAAGTCTCGCATTGCGATTTTGGTCATCTTTCTCTGCTCGGTTGCCTATAACGCCATTCGATTTTTCGAGTACTCGATCAAGTGAGTTTTGAATTTACACAGCATTTTCGAAAGACTTCAAAACTAGAGTTCCATTGAAACCGGAAAGCAATCAGAGTCGGCATTCAAAGCGTCGAAAACTTTGACTAGAATTTTCTTATACGTTGAAAAACTTAGAAACACTATGGAAAAAGTTTAAACAGAAAAAATTTCAGAGAAAATGAAACGGGAGTGATCTACGAGCGATATCTGCGAGATGAGAGATGGTGGGAGTTTGCAAAACTTTGTAGTGCTTATTCCTAAAGTTAATTAGCTTTTTGCATTACTAATCAAGTTTCGAATCTCGTTTTTGTGCACAATTCTATAAAAACAATTCTTAGGTATATGTTGGGCTATTTCACGGGCCTCTACCTATTAACCCATTTCCTCGTCCCGTTCTCAATATTGGCCGTGATGAATGGGTTTGTAATTTTATTTATTTATTATATAGAATTATTTTATGACATTTATTTACCTTACACTAACAGCGGACACAACAAAACAAACAAAAAACAAGCAACAGTGCGAAAAAATATCGCAACATAATAATACACAGATAAGAAACATAACCTTTTACACGTTTTTCATCCTTTTGACCCTTTGATCCAGGAGAAAGCTGTCACTTTGGGTGCACGTCGTTCCGGTGGCGGCTTCTTAACATGTTTTAATTCGTTGAAGCCTCAAAGTAAAACTTACAATCCTTTTGAATACCAGAATTGTTCCATCGACGCCACAGACGAGCATCCTCTTTTCGTGTTTGATGCGCACATGTTCAGAACTTAACGTAAATGTAGAGAAAAACAATCAGAACACTCACATATAACTGGCCGTCTTGAGGGGAGGTAAGGGCAATCAATGATCGGGCACGGAAATGTAGTACCAGGACACTGTTTAACATGGTCGTTACTAAAAAATAATCAATAGAAAATGTGAAACAAACGCACAGTAAGGCTCGGTTGCTGCTAATTCCCGAACAACGAGGGCACTTCACAGAGACTCGCTGATGTTCCTTGAAGAGCTTCGACATCGCGAAAGAAGGATGCCGAGGGGCTTGTTGCTTGTGAATGAATGTTAGAGAGCCGAGTAGCGAGGCACATTTTCCTAATAATACAGGTTAATGCCTAACAAATTAACACTAACCTTAAACATTGTCATTCGAGGTTTACTGGCAACGCTGAAGTGTTCGGCTACTCGTTTATTATATCCTTGCCCAAGGTAGAGAGTCTTTGACGTCTTCATCGTCCTTCTCGCCGGGAAATGACTTCCGGTTATCTGAAAATAAAAAATTAATGTTGAAAAGAGAAACGAACAAAAAAGAACGCATTAAAACAACAGAAGAAAGAACAGAATGAAATTAGATGCGGAGAAGTGGGGAAAATGAAACTATAGATCAGATTACGGTAACTTGGTGCTTTTTAGCAGTCAAAATTTTGCTTAAGTATAAAAGAAAGTTTAAATTTAAAAAAAAATAAGCTTTTATTGACATTCTTCAGTATCAGTAGTACTGCTTTCATTGAAAAATTCAGACATGTGATTGTGACAATGTGGAGACATCGATCCCAGCGGCAATTGCTCACAAGACAGGTTAGTTTGCTGCTTCAATTTCGATATCAAAGTGGAGCAAAACCATTTTAGCAACGCCGCGAACAATCGACGACAATCATGTTGTTGGTTGTGACTGGGATGTTCGCTTTTTGCAACACTCTACCGTTTTTGATGAACTTGGTTGAGTGCGCCATGCCGGATCTCTTCAGTCATCCCAGTACAGCCGGTTTAGCGTATCAAGTTGGTTTTGGAAATCGATTTTCTTCTTAAAACAAAATAAACCTGCTCTTCTAACTCTTTAAGGCAATTTCTTATCGCAATCCTTCACGATTTCAGCTCAACGATCTCACCAATCTCCTCGTCGCTCTCAACTCTGGGACCACTTTTTTGGTCTACGCGATTTTCTCCGAGAAATACCGACAAACAATCTGCTTCATGCTAAAGTAATTGTTTCAATCTTAAAATTTCAAAGCTTTTCTAGGAAGAAGAAAGTTAAGGTGATCATGCCACAAAATGGTAAGCTGATTGAGAGAAAAATTCATAAACAACTAACCACAAGGGCAGAATGATCAAATGCTCTAGTGATTTCGCTAATTGAATAACTTTATGATAAAAGACTTTATGATTAGTACCATTTTCCAGAAACGGGTGTTGTGCGACGGTGTCGGATTTTAACGCCTACACGAATATGTCGAGAACGGCCTCTATGAGAGTGACATCAACAGGACACACACAAAATGGACATAAACTGTCGACATGCAGGTAAATAATTGAGAAATGAATTGAGAAAAGAGATTAAAAACTCGTTGAAGCAGTGGCGAAGGATTCTAGTAAATGAATTCACTGATTTTAATGTTTAAGTTGTGTTCAATTCGAAAGATCACTAAAAAGTTCACTCACTCAGGTTTAGTAGCTGTCATTGAACAAATAGATCTAGTAATATTATACGATTTTAATACAGATTTGGATTTGTTACTAGATCAACTACAATCAATCAATGATCAACTGATGTTATGTTTCCTTATAGGTCACTAGGTGAATCACTAACACTTTCTTTTTCTCGTGGATTAGATCTATAAGAAACACTCTTATAGTTAATTACAGCATAACCTGCGCTGACTACATTAATTCAACTTTTAATCTAAACCAAGCTTTCTTTCGATGTTTCCCTATTTCAGACGTAAACGTGACATGATGCGTCGAGCGCAATCTGTGTAAGAAAACAATTTTTATATCTATAGCTGGCTAAACCCTATGCTTAATTGCCAATTTTCCGCAAATTTTTATGCTTAGATTTCTAAGTTTCCCCATTCAATAGCTTTTTGTGTTTATTTGTTGAGTTCTCATTTCAGTCTTCCCACTTGGTATTCGTCGGAAACACGGGAAGGGAGAAGGTTCGAAAAAAAAAGAACTTCTTTTGCACAAAATTTCTAAAATATTCGGCACTCTGTCATAAAAAAAATAACAATTTAAAGCATTTACAAAAATGCAATATTGTCATCCTGTTGTTTTCTTTCAAAAACTGATAAATCAAAGTCATTGTAGTTCGTGTACTGATAAAAACTGATTTGTTGATATTCTAATGTTATTCTAATGCTTTTAATTCTAATTCTAATGTTCATCTTTCAGTCGATCATCGGAAATGTTGTTAAAGCCGACACAAATCCCGACAAGAGCTGAAAGAAGCGTTTCCGAGTACAATTCGAGAATGAACGGGAAATTGAGGAAACAGAAATGTTCCCTTGATGAGACAAGCCGTTTCTCGGGAATTATGAGGAAAAAGATACACAAGTGAGTTCTGAGATCACAAGAATTGATTATAATTTTTATAATTGATTATTTTATAATTGATTATTTCTCTAATCACCCAATTCGAATTAGTTTTTAAATATTATTTTTAGATTCAGCATGGGTGATAGTATGGTTCACAATGCGGCAATTCAATCGGCAACACCGACTCCTGAAATCACTATCACTGTCACCGAAGAGGAAGAGCAAACTGAAGTCTCGCTTGCTCCGAATGACGTCTAAATGAATGGGATTTCGATCGATTTTTGTATATTCTTAAAGAAAACAAAACTTTACCTTATTTCATCAGAAAACAAAACTTTACCTTTCTTATTCATGCCTATTTCTTCTCGTAAAACTATCATTTTGTCTTTTTTGGTGCTTTTTAGAAACGAGTGTTTGTGTTTTTCCCCGACTTTCAAGTCGATTCTTTTTCTTTTCTTCTCGTAAAGAAAGAATTCTGTTGTACAAAGGCTCTGTCGGTAATTTTTTTTCTGTTTTTTACGGGTTTATCTTTATTGATAAAATTTCAGAAAAAAATGAAACAAAAAACACGAAAACACGAAAAATCAAGCCACTTGCGAATGAAATTTGATGAATAACTGGCAAGTTTTCTAATTTCTAATTCCCAACTTTTCAATTTTGGAAAGGGACAAATTTCTTGAATTTCTTGAAAGCCTTGATCAACTTCAGCGCTGAAGCATTATCTTCTTGATCTTCAGCAATTGTGGAATTTTCTAGACTTAAAGTTGTTAGAATTTGTTTTGTTAAGGTTTTTGAGAAGAGATCGGATGAATTTTCGATAGGGAAATCTTCTCCGGATGAATCCAACGACTCCTCAGTTGTAGCGTTGAAAAGCCGGTCATCATCGAAAGTTGTGGAATTCGGGGAATTTGAAAAGTTTTCGTCTCGAATCTAAACGTTTGCTATTGCTAAATTCGTTTTGGAGTTTTAACCTTTTGCTTGTTCTCTAACAAGATTGGGACATCCGCAGTGGATGAGAAGCAGACGATCTAGAAACAATTTCTTTGATAAAGACAATTCCCAATCAATTTCTTTGATTGGGAACTGTTAGGGTTATTTGTTTTTAATATGATTACCGATTGAACTTGAACAGCATTAGCTGTTCCAGTGATTCGGAAAAAATAGTTCCCCATCTCGCAAACGATCGAGACCGAAGGCTAAAGCGAGTAAAGTATTAGGTTGGCAACTTAATAATGACGCGTCACTACTTAACATGTTTTTTGTAATTTCAAGCGCCGTTTCTTCCCTCTTTTTTTGCATATATACAAAGTAAAAGATGTCTACATAAATAACATTCAGTGCTCCAAATTTCATCATTTGCTTTTTGGCAAAAAATGGAGGACAAAAAATTCCGTATTCGAGCTGCATTGTTCTACGATTTTAAACAAGGAAAATCACCAGCTGAATCTCATCGCACGATCATCACTGTTTTTGGGGAGGAAAGTATACACATTCGGCAATGTCAACGATGGTTTCAAGATTCCAAGGCGGCGATGAAAGCCTCGTAGACGAGCCACACTAAGGACATCCTCCAGAAGTGGTCGACGATGACTTGCTCGCCTTAATTGAAGATTGCCCAACACTCACCGTTCGTGAGTTGGCAGAAATATTTGAAGTATCCCATACGACAATCAAAAACTATTTACACAAACTTGGGAAAAGAATCGAGTTGGAAAATGGGTTCCTCACGAACTGGCCCAAAGCAACAAAATTTCGCCTCAATTTTGCTACAAAAATGTAAACAAAATCAAACGACTTTTTTCATAAGGTTTTGACTTCTGACGAAACGTGGATCAACTACGAGAACGTTAAACGCAAAAATCAATGGCTATCTGCTGGGCAGACCCCTCAAACCACTCCCAAACCTGATATCCATGGGAAGAAGATAATGCTCTGTTGCTGGTGGAACTTCAAGGGATTGGTGCATTGTGAAGTGCTGAAACCTGGCCAAACCGTCGATGCTGATCTTTATTCGAAGCAATTAATGAGAGTTAGCGAGTCTTTGAAGAAATTGGGGCTCAAACCGGAGAGAGTCAGATTTTACACGACAACGCAAAACCTCACACTGCAAAGATCACTTATAAGAAAATCGAGGAACTTGGCTGGAAAGTTTTGCCCCACGCGTCTTATTCACCTGATCTGGCTCCTTCAGATTACTTTTTGTTTCGGTCACTGAAGCACTTTTTGGAGGGAGAAAAGTTCGATGATCATGCTCAGGTCATAAAAGCAGTGAATGACTACTTCGCCTCAAAAACTCCCAAGTTCTTCGAGGATGGGATCCGGGATTTGCGCAGAAGATGGGAAGAAGTCATAGATACTAATGGAGAATACCTTTCGAATTGAAAGCTCTTCTTTTGTGTTTTTTTAAAATAAATGATTTGTTACATAAACGCGTCATTATTAAGTTGCCAACCTAATATTTTCGATGCTTTACAATGCATCAAACTGCCTAACAAGCAAACTTAATAGCTAAATCTCTCATTATTAGATGAGTTTAACACTAGTGGACACTAGCCAAGTCATCTGTGGTGAGAAGGACAAGTTCATTGCTTCCCGGAGTGGCGATGCCGATGCTTGAACCAGCTGGGCAAATGATTTCCATTTCAAAGCAGCCACCTTCCTGAAAATGAATTGATTGATTGAATAGCTATTATAATATCAAAAGAGATTATGGTGCCTGTATAGCAAAGTTCAGCGTTGGATCGGTGGGTGGGACGACCGAAGTGCAAATGGTGCCAGGAGCTGAAAGTTTTTTTTTGTTCTGTCTGCTTGTAGACTTTAGTCCAAAACTTGATTCATTTATAAAGTTCCTACCAGTCATGGCAATAATCTCATCACACGTGGCGGTATCGTCATAGAATTGATCAACGTCCGTCGGGCAACTCATACAAGCTGAATACTCAGGATATGTTTGGATTATCTTTAAGACGCACTCAAAGTACTGGTTGTCGTGCTTGCTGGAGTCGTTGTTGATCCTTGAAAAGATATTTCCAGTAATAGTAAAAACAACTACAAAGCTTACTCGTCGTTGTCGTCACAGGCGATGTGGCAAAGCAACAAAAGGAAAACTCAACAAAAGACAACAACAGTAACAGGATCTTGAAGAAGAGTATGATCATTTTTGAAGCAGAATGTCAAAAGGAGGGTTTCCAGAAATGAGTGAGTTTGAGTTTTTCATGTTAAAATGTCTTGAAAGGATCTCATTTCGTTGAGTGGCTCTCTTTCTTCTTTTTTCCCTTAAACGACCTCCTTCTCAAAAGAGATAAATCACAACTTTCTCATGACATTAAGTGAAATGTTAATCTCGTCTAGACTACGAGGCTTCATTTTCAGGATTCGTTTTAATTGGAATGCTTTTAATCTTTGGGAGACTGATGGAATTTCAACTTTTAAGACAGAAAATCAGTACTGAAGCTTTTGGAAGCTTTATCTTCTAGGAAAACAAAACATAAAACGGGTGAATTATCGAGTTTTAGCGTCTATGAAAACTTTAAGCATTGAATTTACATTTCAGATCTTAATCATTCAACAATAAACTCCTTTTCCGGCGTCTATGAAAACTTTAGGCATTGACTTTACATTTCAGATGTTAATCATGCAACAATAAACTCCTTTTCCGGCTTCAAAACTACGCTGTTTGTCAGCTTGTAAATGATGAAAGTTTCTTGATGAAATGTGAATTCTTTTTTGGATTTTGGAATCATTTTATCTCTTATCACAAATCCGTAAACTCCCAAAAAATGGATTAAAGGCCAAAGAAGAATAGAAAGAAAAGAAGAACTCTGAAATCATGGCTGTAAAAAGGGTTTCACTTTTTCAAAATGAAAAAGCTGATCCGCTATTTTTGTTGTTCTCCATTTTTACATCTACTTAGCAATAAGTCTTTCTAAAACCATTGTTTTAATAAGATCAGACATTGATTTCTAGTTTATTAATAATAAAAAAGAATTTTGGTTTGGTTTGGTTAGACTTTTCTAAATAAAGTCTAACTTCTTTATCTTTTTCAGATGGGAAAAGCCTTCCTATTTCTTGCTTGTCTTGTTTTGGCAACTCAAGCAGTTGACAATGATCCGGAGATCGAGATGAATGCGGTGATTTGATGAAGCTTGTGTATAACATCCAAAACGAAATGACTTATTATAATTTTCTTTAACTATGAGACGTTAAGCCGATGTGTTTATTGTGCTTTTTCAGCCTGAAATCATTGAACGATGGGGCTACCCGGTAGAGATTCACACAGTTGAAACAACCGACGGTTATTTGATCGACATTCACCGAATCCCGGCTGGGAAGAATCGTAAGTTGAGAAAACTGAGAAAACTTGAATCAAAAAAAGATTGAATTGATTAAAAGTCCAATTTCCAGAAGTGCAAACTCCGAACAAGCCAGTCGTCTTCATGCAACATGGTTTCATGTGTGATTCAAGCAACTGGATCGTCAATTTGCCAGATCAATCAGCCGGTTAGCTTGTTTAAAGAAGTTAAGTGTTGAAGTTCTTTTAGGATTCCTCTTTGCCGATGCTGGCTACGATGTTTGGCTTGGGAATGTCCGTGGAAACACATATGGAAAGAAGCACAAGACTCTTAATCCAAAATCCGAGAAATTCTGGGAGTTCTCGTGAGTTTTGAAAGTAAAATTCACTAAAAACTCAATGCTATATAGGATGCATTCTTAAAACTACATGATTTAGATGTATTTATTTGAAATGAGAACTAGAATACTTTAATATCCTAATACTAAATCTTATCAATGAAAATTGAGTGTCGCTCGTTGACTCGTCGGATCGGCTCGTTGACTTTTAACACGTTCGGGACGATTCGGTCCACCGGTGGACGAAATTTTTGACGCGCTATAACTTTTCAACTTTTTAAGATAATTTCAAAATGTAAAAAGATTCGATTAGTTCTAATCAAGAACTATAAGATTGCGCTATAAAGAGAAAGAGAAATGCGGCGTTTTGTCTCACGAGCCAAAAAAGCCGATATCTTTTTGAGGCAGCAATATTTTCAAAATCTGATTAGAGATTCGGATTCAGCATGAAATTTTACATACAGGAGGTGTATTTCGGGGCTAATAGCTTTGCAAGACACCCCTCGTCCACTGGAGCAGTAACGCAAAACAAAAAAAAACGCCTCGTCGTGAATGTGTTAACAGGGCGAGACTGCTACGAATGTTCCAGCGTCGCAGGATTTGCAATTTTAAATCATAAGGGAAAACGTTATAAGGCATAATGTAGAAAAATAAAGTGAATTAAGCAATAAACAAAGAGATTCGTCTTTGCAAAATAACGCTTTTGCAAAGGTTTTTGAAAAGAAAACGCTGAAATCGATTGATTTTTTTTGATAATTGATGGTTTTGATAATATCCGATCTCCCCAAATGCTAATTCATCATGGCAAATTCCTAAAAGTAACTCGCGCTAATTCTTTTAAAAAATGCATAATGTCTAATGCAAATAGTTATATTTCTATTCGATTTTAGATTTGATGAACATGCCGCTATCGATCTTCCCAATGAAATCGACTATGTTTTGCAGAAAACCGGGCAAAAGTCGCTGAACTACATTGGACATTCTCAAGTGATGAGAATTTGAGAGTGATGAGAACTGGTAATATTGTTTTAGGGTACGTTGACAATGTTTGCCCACCTCTCCGAAGATCAAACTTTTGTCTCAAAGGTTCGAAATGCAAAAAATTAAAAGTTAAGAGTTTTTTAGATCCAAAATTTCTTTGCGCTGGCTCCGATTGGGACGATGACACACGTGGAAGGACTTTTCGGGTTCTTGGCCAGGAATTTCGATCTTGAACTTGATTTAAGTGAAAAATTGGCTAAATTTATGTTTTTTTTAATTTCAGGCTCTTTACGTGCTTTTTGGATCGGGCGAGTTTTTGCCGTCGAACAATTTTATGAAAGTAATCAGGTAAGCAAAATTTCTCAGCTTACTATTGGAAAGTGCATGAATCTTCATGAATTCCCCAATTCCCCAAAGACTTATTTTTCACATAAAGTTATTGCTATTTAGCAAAGACTTTTGTGGCACCAACCCGACGAATGACTACTGTGACAATCTTCTCTTCTTGATCAGTGGCCCAGAGAGTACGCAATTCAACGATGTTCGTTTATTTTTTTGATATTAGACTAAAAGTTGCTTAGTTTATTTATATTAACAGAAAACACTAGATATTTTTTAGCTGAAGTGATTCAGTCACTTATTGAGGGGGCGACTTCAGGCAACTTTTTAGTAGCTTAATGCTTAATGCTGTTATGGAATTAATCTCATTTTCAAAGAAGATTATGAGCTACGATCCGAATTGAATGAGAACAGATCCGAATTGAATGAGATCAGATCCGAATTGAATGAGATCAGATCCGAATTGAATGAGATCAGATCCGAATTGAATGAGATCAGATCAGATCCGATTATGAACTACTTATACCTATTCGAATTTTTAATGAAGCAGAATTTCAGGCAATGCCTGAATTTTCTAGCATGGTTGCTTCTTGTGAAAACTTCTGTATTTAAGTGGAGACTCTAAAAAATTCTTGATACAGTTTTAGCAAAAACTTTCAGCTAGAAAATCAAGTTTATAGACTGTAATTATTCATAAAGTTGTTTTTTTTCCCATGTGGCATCGGTTTTGTGGTGAAAAAAGCTGAGTTAAAGTTTTGGAAAACTACAATTTTGCCAAAATCCGCATTTTACCTCAAAGTTGCACTCATTTTACACTATTATTTTTTCAAAACAGATTTATAAGTAATAAAACAAAGTGCACTTAAATTGGTGGTTTCGAAATTGAAAAAGAATTGCAAAAATTGCATTCAAAGACTTCTCGAACCTTTCTGTTTAATCGAATAAATGTGTATTTCAGACCCGAGTTGCCGTTTACACCTCACAAACTCCAGCGGGTGTTTCCACTCAAAACACCATTCATTTCATGCAAGCCATCAATGGGGCACCCGGAGTGGTAAACAATGAACTTATTATTGGGTTGTCCAGTTATGAATGCGCGTTTTTTAATATTTTGTAAATTTCTCAAGATACCGAAATCAAGAAAAAGACATATATGAGTATTATTCGAAAGCTGAAGATCTCCTCTACATTTTGATATAAAAAGCTTTTGAATTTGTTCAGCTTTTGGGCAAATTGACTGCACAGAAGAAGAGGTGGCCAAAAAATGGAAGGTTGCTTTTGGATCAAGTTTTGGCTCCGCTCAAATTGAGTTAACCGTTTGATGTTTGGCCAATAGATATATCAATACAACTTTTTTAAATATAAAAATTTCAGAGCATCTTTACTTTTCTGGGCGGTTATTTTACACCATAAAACTTGAGGAATAGCTAAGCTGAAATGGGTTTTTTCGAAAACGACCTCTCCGTTTGTGCAGTCAAATTCCCAAAAAAGTTCAATGAATTCAGAAACTTTTTATTTCAAAATGTAGAGGAGATCTTCAGCTTTCGAATGATATATAACACTGATATACATCTGTTCGATATCTTGAGAAATTTACAAAATAGTAAAAACGCGCATTCATAACTGGACAATCCAATATATAGAAAATCTTGTTGAAATTGATTGATCTTGATGAAAAATAGATGAGATTATAGATTTAGCTGCTAAAACATCTTTTAACCATAATAACTAAACTTTAGGTGAAAAATTCGACTATCAAGACCCAAAGAAGAACCAGAAGAAATATGGACAGGTAAACAAAAAAAAAGAAAGAAAGAAAAAGCTTTCTAAACTTTAATCTGATAAACTTTACGATATAATAATCTATTTATCTAATAGTTACAAGATATAATAATCTGTTTAATCATAATCTGTTTAATCTTAATCTGTTTAATCATAATCTGTTTAGGACACTCCACCCGCTTATGATTACTCCAAGGTGAATGCGCCAACTCATCTCTTTTGGGGTGATCAAGATTATTTGGGAGATCCAATGGACATCAAGAATTTCCTCATTCCAACTTTAAAGCCAGAATTTGTAAAGGTAAAAACACTAAAGAGATTCTTATAATCCGTAAAGTTTAGACGAATGTCGAGCTGAAAAATTACAATCATATGGATTTCATTTGGGGATTGAGGTAAGAGATTTGTTTCTTTTGAACTTTTGAACCAAAATCTTTTCTTTTTAGAAATCAAGTACTTATTTCAAAGTTGTCATAAAGTCAATGATGTTGTTAGTTTGTAAAAGTGTTAGCTTTGTATTTTTTCAGTACTCCAACAGATGTCTATGCGCCAATTCTGAAAACGATCCAAGCAAGCAATCAGGGACGTTTCCAGAGACATTAGCGGGATAAAAATGTGAACAAATAAAAGTTTTTAAGAATTATTCTTGAAAACACAGTCAATATTAATTGATTATTCACACAATTTGTCGACAAGACACTTTGTGGACTGGTTTCAAAGATATACACGTTTCGGGTGATTACGATTTGATCATTATCAGAAGAGCATTACACAATTTCATGTAAATGCTTGTTTGAAAAGACTCTCTGAGCGTTACTGTAAGAGATTTACCTAATATTTTGTAACAAAAATAAAGCTATTCAACAATGGAAACGGTTTACTGTGAGAAGTACTTTGTTAGAAGTACTGAAGTCTAGATTATGACTTTATACGATGATTTGATTCATACGAATTGATAAGAGAACTAAAAGTGTGTGTCGATGTCAAGAGGATGAAGCGCTCAATTCCAAAATCCACTATGATCTATCTAGTTTACAATCCGAATTATACACTCTACACTGCCGTTTTTCAAAGTTTTTGAAAGAATTGTTGAGGAAAAGTACAAATGATCGATGAGTGTTCATTTCGAATACCGTATTCTCTCTAATAGTAGTGCGCACTACTATTTTTTCAACCCCCTCCTGGACCGCAATACTATTAGAGAGTGCACTACTAATAGAGAGTGCACTACTAATAGAGAGTGCACTACTAATAGAGAGTGCACTACTATTAGAGAGGATACCGTAAACGAAACGCCATTCATTTGAAGCGAAATGCCAAATTCTATAAAAAATATAAACAAATAAAACTTTTTTCGTTTATTCTTAAAAACAAAATTTACTTTAAAAATTGAAATTCCTTTGTTTTACACACAATTTCTTGACAAGGCACTTTGTGAAGCGATTTTAAAGAGATACACGTTTTGAGTGAAAGAATTTGGGTAGGAAAAGATTCAAAGTTGAGATTGAATTCGAGATGGGTAAAAATTTGGAGAAAAATCACAGATCAATGGAGAGTAGTATGGGGAATGTTTTGTTTTGAAAGAATAGAAACTATCGTAGAAAACGTAGTGTTGTATTAAAGTAATAAAGTGTTGTAAACAGTGTGAAATAGCACCGTAAAGACGTACTTCCAATATGTGTTAACGATTTTTAAAACTCAAATCTGAATATGTCTTCTTTTGGCGTAAAGCTGTGCTCCGCTTGGTTGAGTGGAAAATGAGCGGCTTGGTGTCATTGCTGGATTTGATATTGAAGTGGTGTCATGAAGGGGTTCAACTCCTGACAAGTACAATAGTTGATGCTTGATTGTTCACCACTTGCCATATGTTCTTGTAACCGTTGTCACATGGACTGGATCAACGTAAAACGGTCGAAAGTAGTGCGTCCTTTTGCGATCGTAGAGAATTTTCAACTTTGTGCAGTTCAGATAAACCAAAATGCTCATGATTAGCACCTGAATAGAATTTTTGAAAAGACATTTCAGATTTCCTCAAACCAAAACTATTAATAGTGCAATTTTGCCAATTGTGAAGACAACATTCCAATAGCTTTCAGGAGATCGATAAATTTCTCCATTCAGTAAAGGATTGCTTTGGAAGAATAATGGGCTCACTTGACTGTCCTGAAAGAATTCTTTTTTAAAATAGATAACTCTTATCTTCAGCGACTTTATAAGTCGTCGAAGTCAGCGACTTCAGCGACTTTTTTCATATACGATTAAACAAAAGATCATTATTAATAAAATGATGAAACCTGAACATTCCCGTTGTTCTCTTGCTGTTGTTTCAAATTCCAATTATGTGTGTAAGGATTTTGGATCTGTAAACAAGGTGAATCAAGGTTTAAAGTGCTAATGAGATCGAGCACTTCATCATTCTCTTTCACAAACCTCTCTTGTTTTGTATGGACAAATCTTTAGACCGTATTTCCCGCTTGTCTCTTTGATCGATTGATTCACTTGAAAGACGAACGGCTCCAAGGCAAAGATTTGCGATTCGAGGATTTTCTGAGCGAAAATCATCACCAATTTCTAGTTTCTATTTACCTGAATGGGCACGACCATCTTTTGCCGAGTTCCCTTCACATTCACGAACGTCCACCTCTCCAATGTGTGGTTTGGAGTCAACTGGAATTGCGATTAGTATATTGTATTCAAAAAATGATCTCACTTGAGTAATTGTTGCTTGAACGGGACCAAACTCGATAAAAAGCCCATCTTTATCATCAATTCGTGCCAATTGAGTTCTGATTTCACGACTTTTCACCTGAGAAAACATGTTTTAAGCTAATTCAATTGTTACAGTACTTGTACAGTTTGTGTCTCCGGATCCCAAGTGGCATTAATATTGGCTCTAGGTAGACATGGACCTACTGACTTCCGAACATTTAACGGATTATCAAAACGTTTTGCAAGTGGACTGTCAGCAAAGGCAAAACCGGGTAGAGGGAATAAACGCTGAATCGAATATTAAATGCTGTTAAGATATTGTTTATTAATACAACTTTAAAAGTAACCTCATCCGGACTGGCCAGTGTTCTCACTCCACCAACTTTCAACTCCAAAGAGGTTGGAGGGACTGTGGAAGGGCTGATCGTAGTGGTGATTGTATTACTTGTCGTAGTGCTTGATAGTGTACTAAATTTTAATCGGATTTTCTCTCAGATTGATCTCAGACACCTTTGAACTAACTAGCAATAGTTTTTTTTATTAATAAAACCTAGATCATAACCAACCTAGTAGACGGAGCTTCTTCAGTTGTCTGCACTTTCTTGATCACCATATTCAGTGGATCGTTTTTCAGCCGTCGAATCTCATGGGTGAAAATAGCATGTGTAATGGAAGGTATTGGTTTCTTAAGTTTTAAATGAGCTGCACTATCTGATGCTTACTTTGGTTGTTGTTGATACTTTTAGCTGATTCCCGATCGGCTGAGTGTGATTCTAATTTTTGAATAGCTTCCCAGCCCCAATTGAGACCTAAAAATGTTTTTTTTTCGTCTCATTGTTATGCAGTTAATCGAAACTAAAGTTATTTAAAGTCAAAATAACTTTATTTCAGTGTAATCTTTACTTTAAACTCACCTTAAACATTAAAAAGCTTCAACTCACCCTCTCCAATATCAGAATTTGCTAATAAACCGCCTTTTTCGATCGATTGTTCAACCTAGAAAAGAGAAATTTAATAAAGTGATGCAAGTGAATCACTTACATTTACATTTTTAACTTCAGCTACATGTGTGCCCATGTTTTTAGCCACTGAATTCTTCTTGGGTAAATCATTCTCCACTTTTCGAATGTCTTCAACTTTTTTATTCTTCTCATGAACGATCAAATCGGCTTCCATTCGGAGAACCGTTTGTGATTTTGATTTCTTAAAAAAAACATTCTTTGAAAGTTTAAGCTAAATAAATAAAACTCTACTCACCTGCATAGAATTGATCTTTTTAATCTCGAGAACTTTATTTAGTGCACTTTTCATTGTGGAAGTGGTTGTTGTAGTTGAATCGTCGATTTTTGGATTTCCAACAGTGATGTTCGAGATTTCGATTTTTGTGCACTCTCCACAACGCCCCATACTGTGCATAGCTAAAAAAAGAATTTTTTAAATCATTTAAATGTAAAATATTTAACAAAATAACATTTGAGAAAAAGTTGCTTTGAGAATCCATGCGAGCTTTTTGCCCGAAAACAAAGACCTTCCCCCTTTTCATGCTATTTCTCGCCCTCTCCCGCAATGCTCTTGTGGCTCAGTGCCAGAGCGCTAGCCTCAAGCCCATTCGATGCGGGTTCGACTCCCGCGTGTGTGTGCTTATGATGGAATTTCAGTTATCCCTGTCTGAATCGATGTGACGATTGTAGCACGCTCTGAAGCAGCACATTTTTTTTTTTTTTTTGCTTTGCTTTTGGTCTTATATAATAGTTACTTTTTTACCTATATTTTTGCATTCATAAAGTGTTTTTAAAGCATTATCTAACATCTTGTTCACATCTAAAATTGTCAAATATCTCACGAGTATTCGAACAGCTCGAGCAAATGAACGGGGTGACCGGGACAACACCCAATTTGGCTCGCTGTCGATGCGATGAGTAGATTGCGCAAACCTAGATAAAGAGAGTTGAATTTAAGAGTTGAATCAACATCAGAAAGAGATTCAATTGAGAAACCATACATACACTACTGGACAATGAAATATGATATTTGAAAAACGATCGTCACTTTCGCGCATCTGTAACTCCCTTGTCTTTACCGTCTTTCTAAATATTAATATTGCCATTGTGTAGCCCTTGAAAAGAGCTTTCAGAAAATGTATAACACTAATAGTTTAAACTCAAAGACAACGGAGTTACAGACGCGCGAAAGTGACGATCGTTTTTCAAATATCATATTTCATTGTCCAGTGCTGTAGATCGATAAATCTATTTCTGTGCTAAAATTCACCTGTACACCGTAATCCGTATCTTCTGAGAGATCTAGGGTAAACGATTTGACGCCTCCTTGCACTTTCACATCCCGTTTTTGTACGATTTGCCATGAAACGACTGGTGGGATGCCCTATTTTAAAAGTTAAATCAAAGCATTTTCCTTCTAATAATGATTCGACTTTTGTTACCTGCATTTGAGCCGGTCCATATCGCACATGGTAGTAAAGGGGTGATCTAAAGAGTGGAAGAGATCGACAAGAATTTTAGCTAGATGCTTTTGAATTTTTGAGATTTCTAGGTGTCATAAAAGGTCTTCAAAGTCATTTAGATAGTCAAGTGATAGTGATATAGCTTATCTACTGTCAAGTAGCAATCTCACCGCTGATCTGGTGGAGCCCACATGATCGTCGCTTTCCCATCCGAACCCCAAACGTCGATCACCGATGTGCAAACGGGTTGAGCATCTAAATATTAGATTTTGTGTCTTAATTTAACCCATTAAACACTATAAATATAATTTTAATTTTAAAACTTTCAAAAGAAAAGCAATGAAAGAGAATTCAGACCTCGTTTACACACTTCAATGTTCGGACTCTTCTCGCAATCAAGTTCGAGAGATTTCTAGAAAAAGTTGTCAAGTGTCTTTAGATATATTGGGTTGGTGAATTGAAAACTGCGGGCTATTGTCATATGTGGCAGTTTGAGCACTTTCTTCAAAAGAAACCCATTTTGGTGTCAATGGAAAAGTTGTAGAGAATCAAAAATGAAGCTTATATCCAAATTTTCAGAATGATTCAAAAACTGGTTTTCAAGAAATGCGAAATTTACGAATTTTCACAAAACTTGCATTTTAAGCGAAACTACTAAGTGTATCTTTTTGGAAATTTGGATATAAGCTTGATTTTTGATTCTCTACAACTTTTCTATTGACACCAAAATGGGTTTCTTTTGAAGAAAGTGCTCAAACTGGGACATCTCCAGTCCTCCATTTTTGAGTCTCACACTTGTCTCACACACAAACCAAAATCCTACTACGAAAGAGAAATCCGGAAATTGCCTGTAAAATGAGCAGAAGTCGTCAATAATAATGGAAATTATTTGGAATGAATTCATGGCTTTATGGTCAATAAATTTTAGTTCAAAGTCCCGCAGTTTTCAATTCACCAACCCAATATTTAGATAAATTTATGAAATTCTTGAGGTATAGAACAAAATAACTTTTGGATAATTGTTTTACTTGGATTAAGAATGGTTGAAGTCGAGCGCAACGGGGCAGCATTCGAACCTCAACCCATAGACGACATCTAAGTAAGATTATTAGCAATGTTAAAAGTTAATAGTTGAGAAAGGAAAATGGTTGCAGCAAGAACTCGATCAAGTCTTCATTAATGGTTTAAAATTTTAGCTTCTATTTTCTTTCAAAAGCCGACCTTGCTTCTAAAATCGAAGCTGGTAACATAACGACCAATTGACCGCCGCCAGGAAGGATTTCCTGTAAAAATGTAAATGTAAATTGCAAGAACTAAAATTGAAAGATTTTTTCAGTATTGAAGTTTAGCTTGCTTTCCTTTAACGACTTTCAAAAGCCGAAACAATACTGTAAAACTTACAATCCTAGGAATGGGCAACTCGTCTTCAGGTGTCTTACACTGAATGGGGTAGACTGCTGGTGATTCGTATCCATAAATATCCGAATCATCAAAACCCTGAACGCAATTAAAACAAAATTCTTATCAATTTCATTATTATATTTTTTTTTATTTATAACGAGAAAACTTACGGGCGGTACAGTCCATTTCACAAGGATTTTCAAAGTTTCCATTGCGACACTCGGCGTCGGCTCATCGACCGTAATCTGGAAAAGGTGATAAGTAGGTAGAGAATTTGTATTTAAAGTTTTATTTAAAGTTTGCTGCTAATGTTCACCATGTTTGGATCAATGGCAAATGGTGGTAGTCGTCTTGGAATGACACGCGGTCGAAGCAGAACGAATGGATCCGCGGGATTCGTTGATCTGAAATGACTTTTAGACTTATGGATTTGATTTATTTGAGAAAGCTTTGAAATAGATCTAAATATAGATTTAGATCTATTTCAAAACGTTTAAAGAATCAAAAGTTTCACCTCATCAAGACGATTACTCGAAACTGATAGTCTCGACAAGGGTCGCCGACGGTGAACTTTACCGAGGGACTGGGCGAGGCCACCTGAAAAGTTATTTCGATCTTTTCCTAGATTCTGGTTTTGGAAATCTGGACTAAGCAGAAGATCAAGTGCTTTAGAAGCTCTAAAGGCTTTCAAAGGCTTTCAAAAGCTTTCAAAAGCTTTCAAAAACTCACAGCAAACATCCAATCCTCTGGTTCTCCACTGCCCACAGTGGCAAACTCAAAAACGTACACAAAAGCGCCTTCAACTTGCTAAAAAGAAGAATTTGTTAATCAGAAAATCATTTCACCTCCAAATTTATTTTGATTGTGTGCGCATCGAGGTAATCGACAACGGCTGTTGGTATCAGTGTTGGCACGTCAGCTAAGAAACTTGTTCTAACAAATTCGAATAGTTTACCATTTAAAAGCCGATTGTTGACCGAAGTACACGTCCTGAATGAATGCTGAACCGGGCAATTGCACTGCATGGGAATCGCCTGGAATTCATTTCGCTCTAACCAAATTTTTTCGAATACTTTTTATGCTCAATTTCTACCAGTTTCAATTTCGTTCAATTTCTCCCCATCGTTCAATTTCTACCACTTTCATGGTTCACCCCCATTCTTTTTGTTTGCAAGTTACCCAGCCTTCACCCTTCAAGTCCCCATTGAGTGAAAGTTACGGGAAAAGGGTTCTCCTCGATTATTATACTAATCGGCTCGACTCGTCTTTCCCTATTCAAAAGCTAAACCCCTCAAATCTGGCAACTATTCAATCATTTCAAGCGCCATTTCAACTTTAAACCCGGATTTAAAGTGAAACATATCTATTAACTGGTTGAATACATGCCAGAAAGAGTGTGTTTCCAAAGTACAAGTAACGGACAATTTATTTGTCCATTTCCGACAAGATTTTCTCCAAATTTATACACTCTTTTCAAGGGATTTCTAAGGCCAAAGTGTAGCCACATGTGCTTATCGCTTTTTGTGATCTCTTACCCATTTGGCTTGTCAATCCCCGCTGCTATTGCTAGGAGTCAAGAAATGGAAATTGGGTAAATCTGGGTGAATAGATGAAATTCGCAAAAAGTTGCAAGGTTTCGTTTGAATTTCGAGATCACAAACCGTTCCCGTTTGCATACATCGATCATAGCATTCAAGAGCACATTTCGCTCTCAATGAAGTTCCCGCATGAATAGAAGGAATTTGAATTTGAATTAAAAATAGTGTGAAATAAAGAAATTTCTCTGAATCCAATGGAGGCATCGTCTAAAGGAGTAGAAAGTAAAAAGTTCTGTAAAAAGAATAAAAAAAAGCTGAGCTGCACAAATCAGACAAAAAACACAAAATAATCGAACGGTAATCTTTATAAAGTTTCTATTTATGCTTGTAAAATTGTAAATTTGTAAAATTGTAAAATCTTGAGTATTGCGTGGCTGGAATTGGTTGAGTGGGTGAGGTCATCGGTCAAGTCAAAGGATTATGACAATTCGTTCGGATAGGGAATCCTTTTTGGGGCACTCTTTCCTTTTGACAACTCTTTTCTTGGGTCTTTGAATGAATTGCTTTCAGGCGATGAACCCCGGGATGACCCCTGGGGGTACACACTGATGGATTGGATTCACTTTCAAGCAAACGATTCAACATGAACATCCAGGGAATAAGTAAGCTGTAAGTAAACTTGGGAACTACTGAAAATGAAAGAATTTCAAGTAAGAAATTGGAAAACTTATTCAAAACAGGTTCCCTAAAGTTTGTAAATCCAAAAATCGAAGAGTTTAGCATTTCAAAACAAAGCAAACATCAGATTCAGGAAAAACGATTTGTGTAAGGGAAGAGATTAAAGGCGCTGGTGTCAGAATGAGGCCAGATCGAACAAAAAAAATGGAAAGAAGAGGGATCGGAAATGTTTAGTGCGGTTGACAGAGGATGAATCTGTTTCCCTCTTTTCCCCAACTCCAGTACTACCTTTGAGGCTCAGACTTTGTGCCTTCAGAGTCTCCAGATTCCCTTTCCTTTAGAAAAAGACTTACTGGGTCAACCGGCTGTTAGCCGATGCTTTCACTGAGGCAGCACAAAACGCGGAACAATTTATAGAGAATCGGAGAGGAGACTGTCAGAAGAGTCAGTGGTACAAAGAAGAGAAATCGCTTTCACCCATAAGCGATCCCTTTTGCATAGTTGAACCTTGAGATTTAGTCTTGAAGGATATTAGATGCTAATACTATGAATTAACTGAACAAAACTCTGTAAACAAAGCTGTTTCTGAGTTTATTCCCGTTTGAACCAGTTTTGATAAACATTTCTGAATCATAGAGTATCAATAAAAACAAGAAAATAAAAATCAAGCGGAAATCGAAAGTCAAAAGGAGGAGCAAGAGAGAGATACAATCTGAAATGGGTGTTCCGACCTCAATTTGGTCGTCCAATTGGTGGCTTTGTCAAAGCGGGAAAAGAGAGGGAAATAGTTGAGAAAAGAAGGGAAATGGGTGTGCCTCCATGGTCATAAAGATTCTCCCTTACGAAAGAGATCTTGCTCAAGATTTTGGGAGGGAAATTGGTTTGAAATGCCCATCTGGAACTCGTGAAATCACACCAGAATGGTTTTCAGTGGTGTTTTGTGTTTGTTGGTTGGATGGTTGGATAGCCGGAAAAAGATTTCAAATGCATCTTAAAAGAGGGATCCGAATTAGGGCCGATTCTCACTAAAACCAAATTATCAGCAGCTAGGTTAGTGATATAATGTTTTTTTATGTAGAATCGGTTTACCAATAATTTCTCCTCTTCACTCTTTTCCAAGATAAGTTAATAAGTTACCTAAGAAGTACGGATATGCGCCAGCTCTCGGGACTCAGAGATCCAGTGGAAGTGATTGAGAGAAAAAGACTCAGATGGGCCGGCCACGTAGCCAGAAGAACAGACGACACGGATCACAGAGTGGCTACCACGAGACCAGAAGAGGCCCATCGGAAGACCAGCAACGAGGTGGAGCACAAGAGTGGCAGAGACGGTCAGAGAAAGGATGGCTAGAGTGCAACCACCACCAGCACCAGCAAGTCGAAGACTTCGAACCAGAAACAATCAAGCTAGGAAACACTGGATGACAATAGCAAGGGATAGAGAAATGTGGAAGCAGGTTGTGATCTGCGCAAAATAGGAACACCTGAGTGCGAAAACATCAAAAAAAAAAGTTAATAAGTTTCCGAGTTTATCTAAAAGTCTAGACCAAATCCGATATCCAATTAGTAGACTCAATAAAATGAATAGTTCAAATCGATTCGCCAACCCCAAAAACCTCGGGTACCAAACTCACAGCAGAATATCTTCGATCTACAAAGCAAAAAAAGAATCCCAATGTAAATGACCTCACCAGGTGTTCTTTGTGTGCGCGCTTGATCGCTCTTCATCTGGCAAAAACGTCCTGGTATAGGGTAGAAGGATTTGGTTTTAGTGGAAATCGATCCCAGTTCGGATCCCTCCCCTAAACCATTGAAAGTTTTATATATATCTAAAAAATCAGAGCAAGTTGTTCATTCTGGGATTTGTTGAGAAAACTTCAGAGGAAAAGGAGAAAAAGAAAACATAAACATTGCTTGAGGGCCAATTTTCAAGGAAGCAAAGGGGTTTTTCGCAAAAACCACCGCAAATTTACATAGTCTTCTTAGACTAGTTTAAAATAAATTACCATTTATGATCATTCAAACACATGACCAAATGACTCCTTGATGTGTCACTTGAAAGCCTCGAAATTCTTCTTTTGTTATTTCCCTATGAGTGTCTGTCTTCACCTCGAAATCCTCAAAATCACCAGTTTCTCCCTTCTTTAGATCTTTTTGTTGAACAATGGTTGAAATCCCGATTTCTTTTCCTTTTCTTTGATCTCTTCTTTTCCTTTTCTGTTCAACCACCTCAAGTCACTTATTGGGGTCTCTTTTTCAAAAAAAGATCTCGACCTAAAACTGGATTTTTCTTTTTTGAAAGCTTCAAGAAGTTGTTTTTGCAAAAACCCAGAAATTGAGGAATTCGTGCGGAAAAGTTCATCTAAAATTTGCTGGGATTTGAAAGAAAGGTGTAAGCATTTGAACAGACAACACTTTTAAGCAAAATTTTGATCAAATTGTGCTTGGTTTGCTTTGCTTTTTGAAAGTTTATTCACAAAACAAAGAAAAGCGACAAGGGGAAAAAACTTGTGAAATCACACACCCGGGAAATCGTGATAGAGTTTGGCCAGAGAAATGAATAAATGAATGGAAGAAAATCGAGAAAAATAGAGATCGGAGCAGAAAAGGAAACAAACTTAAAAAGAAACTTCTGAAATTTGTTTAAAGTTTTGAAACGGGAAAACTAATGCTGCAAGATCCAACATAAATGTTTCGACTTTTTCTGTCCAGTGGTGTTCCGCCAACGCCACAGCATTTTCAGGCCTTGGCATCTGGAAAAGAGTTTAATTTAGAACTTTATCTTTTCAGAAACAGATTTCGAAGAAAATTTAGTTTTTTACAATCAATTTTCTCACCTTCCATAAATGAACGGATTGATGACAGAATTGAAATAAACCAAACAATTCAAGAAGTAAAGCTTTGATTCAAGAGTCATCATGTAGTAGCTCAGATCGTAAACCATCACCCTGAATTGACAATTAAGATAAATAGATTCTTTACGTTTCTACACGCACCAGATAAGCATATTGTACGGCAACCAGGTGACCACATAGCATAGAATCAAGAAGAGAGTGATGCGAAGAGAGCGAATCTGAAAATTATAGTGATGCTATGATGTTGCTTGACAAATAAGAGCTAGATCAGTGTGCCAAGTCTGCGTTTATTCGAGCACAAATTACATAATACTTAATCATATAACTTACCTTTGCCCGCTGGAATCGATCTTGTCCTCGAAGTGAGCTCTGTTGTGGATGTAAAGCAACTTAAATAAAAGATAGATAGATCAACTCAAAATCTTCATCCAAACCAGCATTCCCTTGAATTTGTTGTTGTTGCAGTTGTTGCTTTTCTTTGCTACTTCTTCCACACGATGATAAACGAGTCAACTCGGCGATGTAGAGGACGGACGAGGCGTCAGAGTCGTATGTCAGCGTTGCATAGATGTCCTGAAATCAAGAATTGATAGGAAAACTTGTTAGAGCTCACGAATTTTACTACTGTAAATGTTCCAGGATTTACCTTCAAGATCAACACATAGCAAATGACCAAAATTGCGCACGGGATGTAGAAAACGACGATTGATGAAGCGACTACGTAGATCAACATCTAAAATGGTATTGCTAGAAAAATTCTAGAAAAGTATTAGTTCAATATAATCTATTCAAGTTCAAAATCCATTCAATTTACGCACTTTATTAGCCCCATCGTTCCAAAAAGTCTCTGGCGAGAAATCGACCATCCACGTGTTTACGCAATTCGGTCGTCCGCCGATCATCTGTAAAAGGTTTTAGGTAAAGTATAGTCGAATTTCAATACAACGCTTGATATAACGAACACTATCTTGGCCCTAACGAAGGATTTTCCCTTAAAATGACCTTCGATATAACGAACTTTTTGGCCGGTCCCTTGAGGTTCATTATATCGAAGTTCGACTGTATTAAAGTAAGCCAGAATGTATGTTTATCAAGAGAATAAAGACCTATCATTCATTGGAATTAATTTTTTTCCCTCAACCAACCGCTTCTTGCCAAAGGAAAAGCTGTGGAAGTGAAGTCATCGCGGCAATGACCCAAGCACTGAAGAGCATCCGCGGAACACGGGAATGACCAACGGCTGACACCCAAAGGGGATATCTGAAAAGGAAATAATAAAATACTTCTAGAAAATATAAAAACCGAACTTGCAGGTTATGCTTTTGATTTTTTTGAACCCAACAAACCTCAATGCATAGAGTCGATACAGCGCAATGCAGACCATGATGTTTGAACTAAAAGCAAGATTATTTTGATGACTTTGACTTGTTGAGATTGAAACTGTGAAGGAAATTTCCTAACCTGGCCATGAAAGCGAACATATCGACGAATCTCATGAGCCGACACATCAAATCTCCGGCCAGCCAGTCCTCAGTGATCAACCATCCAAGCTTGCCGATCAGAGATGGGCCGAGTACCTGGAACAAATCAATGATCAATCAATTTATATATTGTATTTGAATATTGTACTTTCAATGCTCCGGGACTGGACGAAGATTTTCCAGGTTAAGATTAAGGCTAGCTAAAACGAGCTAAAACCAAGCCTTGGCTTTCTGCTTTCTTTTGCTCATCCCTGATTGTGCATGACTTAGCATCGTATTTTTGAAATGTTCAAAATATCACTGCTGTTCACAACACAAACTTCTCCTCTTTATTTGATTCACTCAAAACAAGGAAGTGTCCCTCCAAAACCCTTTTTTTTCACCCATTCAGTTTGTTTTCTCTTCTCCTTTAGTGTAATTGCCTTCTTTAGTATTCCTCACTTTTTACGATTACCCAAAAAAACGATGTGGCCAATTTTATAGTCAGATCAATGGCTTTCATTGAAAACATTGCGATCTTGGTTGGTGGTTTTAAAGGATTTCTCTTTGAATTTATTAATCCCTCAAAAAAAAGAATACTCACCAAAATATCCGTCAAATTGAGATTGATGTGTAGGAGAAGAAGGAAACTTCGAGCGTGTTTATATCTAAAAAATAAAGATAAGGCTAGCTTTTGGTGAAATTGCTCAGCTATGATGCAAATGATGAGTCAAATTGGTAAGCCTAATAAATTTTAGAAAAACCCCACCTTTTCATCATATAGAAAAATGTAGAAATATTCATCGGCAAGCCAAAACAGACAAATAAAGTGTAGAAGATTTTCTCGGTTGACGCGTCGGTGGATGCCTCGTTGCTTGTCGAATTCATTGTGATGTTCTGAAAGTTTTAGAAATTAACGTAGAACAAGAATTTAATTTAAAACAATCAGCCAACTTATGAAAAACAAATTAAGTTTCAAATCTCTGCAAAAAGTCGAGGAAAAGTTTAGAGAGTAATGAACCCTTAAACTTTTTAACTTTTGAACAACAGAGTGAGAGGAAAACATGGTTGAAGGTAAATTGACAGTTGGGAGTAGAAATTCATTCGCTTTTTTTTATTTTGAAGCAAAGAACCGCGTTTTTCTGTTTAGATGATCAAGTTTTTGATAATTTGATGAATCTTTCAGCTCAAAGGTTAGCTTGAAAACAATGATAAAAGAAAACTGGACAAGAAAAGTTCTGAGTCATTAAAAAAAACGGAAAATGAAGGCTTAGCTCGAAATCAAAATTTGAACAATTAAATGATACTCGATCACAAATCTTTCTGCTATTCTCAGATTTTCTCAGCAGAAGATTCAAATTGAATTTTTGAGGGTGGGAGAATTTTGGAGAAAAAGGAAGGAGAAAGTGAGAAGCTAAAAGAAAAAGTCGAAAGCGAAGAGTGGCGTGCGTTCGTCTGGAATCACGAATTCGCCTCTCTTGGGCACAGAAAAATTCGGGAAAACTCTGGCCCCGAGTGGTCACATTTAGGGGGGAAAAGAATATCGAAATGAGATTTATCTCTTGCAGTTCTTTTTGGTGGTTTTTGCGGAGCTGAATATGAAACTGATTTGGGAAAAGAGGAAGGGGGAAAATCGTGCGGAATTTTTGAAAACCTTTCTTAAACTTCGGAGTCGAATCAGCAAGTTTTTGAGTGAAGGTGCTAGATCTTTGACTTCAAAAACAGCTTTGATTTTGGATTTCTCTCAAAGCTGTTTTGATTCTTTATTGAAAAAAATTTGCTGATCACTAGATTCATCTTTAGATTCATTTCTATTCTGAAGGACTATAAAGACTATAAAGCTCATAAGCTCATAAGCCAAGACATCTTTATCTATAGACATCTTTATCTAGAAAAATCCGAACTTGTAACTTGATCCCGTTGATCGTTTGGTGCATTCACTTGCAATTAAACAATATAATGGAAAATTTTGAGATTCTGAATCAAATGTATTCTGTAGTTACATTCAGTTGTGTAGGCATTCAATTGGAGAAATGAGAACGAATCCACAAGAGAAATGAATCCAAAAAGGGATTAAAAATCCCCAATAATCAAAATATTATAGAAAAAAATAAGATCTTCTTAAAATATTCACAAAAATTCTTCTTGTTTCACTTTGTACTAGAAATGATCTCTTTGATGGGCAGAACACATTGTACAGAATCTCGTGGGAGGTAATAATTTGGGGTTTTCGAAAAGTTTTTTTCAATATTTTTGCTGAAAATGATAATGAATAATGATAATGAATAGTTTGGGTGAAGTTTGAGAAGAAAATTTGATGCTATTTATGTTAACTGTAGAAAGGGGAAAAGCTCAGCGGGTTCAGCTGGGGAAAGGTCAGAAATAGAGCTGAATTGTACCATTCATACCGTTTAGACTTAAATTTCTGAACTTTTGAGAAGTCAAGTCTACTATAGAGTGTACAAGCCATGTCTGACATAGTAATTTAAGCTTTTAACCTTGGTTTAACTTATTACTTATGATTAAGGTTACTTATTCAACTTATTATTAAGTTTCGAGTCGTATGATTAAAAAAAAAAAAATCAAGCTCATTTTTTTTTTACCAAAAAAAAATGCGGGAAAAATAAAATAAAAAAAACTACGCAGGGGGGGGGGTCTATTTAGATTGAAATGATCAAGAATTGCCAACTAAATCGTTTTTTGATCATTTTGAGTGAATCACTTCTAAAAGAATTAAGCAAATTAAAATAACTTTAAAAAGATTCGCTTTTGACTCATGAATTTCTTTTTTGTAGAAAAATTAATTGAGAACCTCGAGACTTATCTTTCTTTAGAACCACTAATTATTCAGCGGTGCCTCTCGAAAACCCTTTTTTTTCATTAATTTCATAGAATTCCGTGAAAAGTGTGACTTTTTCAATGTCTATGTGAGAAAAATGATCAACAATGATGCTAAAGGTGAAAATTTGATAAAAAATTTAGCGCTAAAGCGATTTGCTAAGTGGAATAAAGCAAAGAAACACCAAGAAAGGTAGATTTTTGCAAAAAGAAAACGAAAATGAATAGAAATAAACGAATTTTCCAACAGATCCAATAATAAAAGTTCAATTTTTCACTTGAAACCAATTTGAAACAACAAAAGGCAAAATGGGGGACGATGAAACTCAATTTTCTCAAGAGAGGCCACTTTTTGCTGCGGTTTGAAAGCCACTAATTTTTGAAGGGGCAAATGTTCGAAAACAAAACAAAGTTCAAATTCGAATAATGACATCAATTGGATAAAGTTTAGAGTTTAAAACTAAGCAGAATCGAGAATTTTCGCCAAAATAGCTAAGAAATTCTGAAACTGAATGACATCAATTGGATAAAGGTTGAAAATAGTTGCATTAATCACTGAAGATATTTCACTAGTAGGGCTGGGTAATATATATATATATAAATACTTTATTTAGAAAGAAATAAAGTGCGAAAAATGTACCAGATAAAAGATCACAAAGTCACTTAAAATGCAACGAAGTAGCCCTTTTAAAATCAGACACGGTGGAGATCAAACGCAACTTGTCGGGAAGGGCATTCCAAACTTTAATCACACGATTTACAAAAAAAAAGCTCTAGAGGATTTAGAGAAAGCAAATAATGGAAGTTCTAGATATTGGGTTGGGGAGAATGAGTCGGCGCCCAACTTTAAAGGGACTTTTTGCACACATAAAGCCTTCTTTAAACATACGTTTGGTTTCATCAAAAGGATCCACTATTTCTCTACAAAATGACTTTTGAGAGATTCCACAAAGCTTTTCTTTCGTGGAGTTTATGAACTTCGAAACGCAGCTGGTTAAAATGGCAAAGAGTCCGACTCATCATTTGAACAGTTTCTTTCACATAAACCTTCTTTGGTGTTTATATAAAAAAGATAGAGCACATTCAATTACTTAAGTTGCCAAATTTGCAGGAAGATCCCACCAATGATTTTTTTCTAGATGACAGTTTGTAGTTTTTGTGACAAAATGGCTTTTTCTTGAGCGGAGGCGCTGTTTGAATTTTCTTTTAAATGTCATTTTGTAGAGAATTAGTTAACCATTCTACTGATATCAAACGCATATTATTTGACGAAGTCGAATAGAAGTTTTAGACATTTTTTTGATTTTCGGCGCCGACTCATTCTCCCCAACCCAATAATAAACGGGAAAACTTTGCAAATTAGAGAATTTACTTTGAATTCGAAACTTTGGAAATATTTTGAAGTGAAAACGAGGAAAACCACGGTTGAGTGGACCCTTGAGAAATTAGGCGACAAGTGAGGACAAGAAAAATTTTACTTCTGCGTTTTTTTTTGTGAACGTGAGTGACTTAGGTTCAGAATTACAAAAAAAACAGCTAAAAGCTTTAAATGCTAAATTTGTGCAAATACTTTGAACAAACAAGCCCCGATTAGCCGGTTCAGTTGCCCAACACGGAGTTTTTCTTTAATTTTTCAAAGATAAGCGTGAATTTCCAATGAGAAGTGTTCAAATTAGGAGTTTTTGGTTAAAAACATTTAAGGAAATTAGTTTTCTAGAACAAGGGGACCAATTTACATAAATTACGCAAAAGGATCAAGTACCGGAAATTGGAGTTCTTTCCGGAGCAATGGATGTGAGGAAACATTTATCTTTTGAAAAATTAGGAAATGATTTGAATCTAAAAATTTGATTTGAGTTTATTTTCAGAATTTGGATTGATTTAGGTCATAAAATATAAATTAGAATAAGTAGAACTCTTGAAAAATTTCCTATTGAAATTCCTATTGGATTGCATATCGGGTAACTCAGATTGCTCAAAAGCATACCCAACTTTAGCATGTAGTTGCTTGTAAGCTGTAAGCTGTAAGCTTGTAAAATAGTTTACATTCAACTTAAAGATTCGGAAAATCAATTGTAGTTGTTTGCAGAAGCATCAGATGCGTGGAGAGCTAGCCAATAACACAGCAACATCTCTTGTTTCTCCGATTTCATCGAAGATCTCGGATTAAATAATTTCCCAGAAACTATCACTGATGCAGAAAAGCTTGAGAAGAAAAATCTTCAGAAGAAAAAAACAGAAATTGAGCAGGAAAGGAAACGAGGAACAAAACAGGGTCCTCGCCATTCTTTTTCCCGCAAAGGAATGGGGGATTTCCCTTGCGTCTTCGGGAAGCAATTTGTGTGGAACCTTTAAAAGAAAAAACAAAAAGTGGAAAGATCTCTTTCTTTCCTTTTCAATTTGTAAACTTTTATCTAAATCAGTGAGATTATTCATCAAAGCTCAAGAGGTTTTCAATTACGTTGACTAGACGTTGACTAGACGTTCTTGACTAAAAGTTCTTGACTAGACGGAGATGTTCTTTTTTTGAATCAAAACATCTGAAGACCCTCAATGGCTACAGCCATTTTTCTTTGGCAAAACCGGATTCCTTAAAACAAGAATGATTCATAACTTGAAAGTTAGACGGATTAATAATTTTGAGTTCTTTTCAAGTTCAAGTTTCTATTCTTTTCTTTTTGTTGTTGCTGGTTTCTTCAGTTTCTTCAGTTGAATGGAAATAATTGATTATTGCTTTTTGCTTCCCGAAGACGCAAGGGAAATCCCCCATTCCTGTATTAATTCCTGTATTAATAGATTTGAGTTAAGACTACAAAACAAGAGCATATCAATGGCTTCCAGATAACAGAAAATAAAGTGATAATTTTGTGTGCTTTTCCTAAATAACTCAAAGAGTATAAACCGAATTTATTTTAAATAAAAAAAAAATATTAGACTCTAATATTCCTATGCAATTCCATGATTTTCGTCAAACTCGAGTTCATTTTTTTCTTGCTTATTGCTTTTTTTTGCAGAACTTTTTTGGAGGAACGCCTTAGGATAAAATTTGA